GGTACAAATGTTTAGGTTACATAAATTGCCTTTGCCGCACCTGAGTCAGAGCTTCAAGCATGTCCATCTCTCAGACGGTGTGCATCGCACCCATTCACTGTGAATGTGCACTTCCCCTCCTTCCCCCTCCCACCAGCCTGACATCTGGTGAATGTCACTACTATATGTGCACATAAGTGTTGATCAGTTAATACCAATTTGATGGTGAATACATGTGGTGCTTGTTTTTCCATTCTTGTGATACTTCACTTAGTAGAATGGGCTCCAGCTCTATCAAGGATAATACAAGAGGTCTAGATCACCATTGTTTTTTGTGGCTGAGTAGTACTCCATGGTACACATATACCACCTTTTGTTAATCCAGTCATGGATTGATGGGCACTTGGGTTGTTTCCACATCTTTGCAGTTTTGAATTGTGCTGCTATAAACATTCGAGTGCAGATTTCTTTTTTATAGAATTTCTTCTTTTCCTCTGGGTAGATGCCTAATAATTGGATTACTGGATCAAATGGTAGTTCTACTTTTAGCTCTTTGAGATATCTCCATAATATTTTCCGTAGAGGTTGTACTTGTTTGCAGTCCCACCAGCAGCGTATGAATATTCCTATCTCTCCACACCCACGCCAGCATTTATTGTGTTGGGACTTTCTGATAAAAATCATTCTCACTGGAGTTAAGTGATACCTCATTGTCGTTTTGATTTGCATTTCCCTGATGATCAGAGATGTTGAGTATTTTTTCATATGTCTGTAGATCATTAGTCTGTCTTCTTTTGAAAAGTTTCTGTTCATTTCCTTTGCCCAACTTTTAATAGGGTTGTTTGATTTTTTTCTTGCTGATTTTCTTGAGTTTCATATAGATTCTAGTTATCAGCCCTTTATCAGTTGTGTAGCATGCAAATATTTTCTCCCATTCTGTAGGTTGTCTGTTTCCTCTCGTGATAGTTTCCTTGGCTGTGCAGAACTTTTTTAAATTAGATCAAGTCTCATTTATTTATTTTTGTTGTTGCTGTAATTGCCTTTGGAGTCTTCTTCATAAATTCTTTCCCTAGCCCAATGTCCATAAGTGTTTTTCTAACATTTTCTTCTAGAATTCTTATAGTTTCATGCCTTAGGTTTAAGTCTGTTATCTACCATGAGTTGATTTTTGTGAGAGGGGAGAGGTGTGGATCCTATTTCAGTTTTCTACATGTGGCTATTCAATTTTTCCAGCACTATTTATCAAATAAGGATTCTTTTCCCAGTGTATGTTTTCATCTGCTTTGTCAAAGATCAGATAAAAATATGAGGATGGTTCTATATCTTGGTTCTCAGTTCTGTTCCATTTGTCTGTGTCTCTGTTCTTGTGCCAGTCCCATGCTGTTTTAGTTACTATAGCCTTGTAGTATTGCTTGAAGTCTGGTAAACTGATGTCTCCCAATTTGTTCTTTTTGTTTAAGATTGCTTTTGCTATATGTGTTCTTCTCTGGTTCCATATGAAGTGTCTGAGAAGTTTTTTTTCTAACCACTATAGCTCAAAGTAATCTTTCTCTTTTTGAATTTTTACTGCAATTATAGTCTCTACTATTCACTTGACTTTATCATTTACTATCTGTTATTACAGGGGAGAGTTATGTGTATGTGTGTCTTATTTCTCTAACCAGGTACTAAGTTCCCCCAAAAAAGGCAGAGAAACTATCTTCATCAGAGACTAACACAGTGCATTTCATAGTAAGTCCTCAAGACATTTTTGTGCTATACATTCTCTCTGAAATTGGGTTTTTGTAAGGTTTCCTCCAATGATAGTATAATGTTTGAGTAACTTTAACACCTAGAAAGATAAATATTGGGGTTGATTAATATGGAGATTTTTTCTTTTAAAACTTGAAGTCTTTTACATGCAGAATAAAGTCTATCACAAGTACCTAAACTGTCTGTCCCTCCAGGCTTTACTTGAATTAGACCTTAAAAATGGCTGTTTATACATGCCCCAGTATGGCCTAGGGAAGCCCCAAAGGGCATGTACCAATTGTTAAGATGATGATCATTATCAACCGTAGAAATAACTAACATTTATTTTGTCTTGGTGGTTAACAAAGCACTTCTACTCATATGACATCATTTACTGCTCACTAAATAGATAGGGCAAATATAGTTGTTATTTCCATTCTTTGGATGAAGAAGCAGACTCAGAAAGGTTTTGTGACTTTAGCAAGGTTGTCCAGCTCATAAGTAGAAGTACAGACACCCACATCTCTGCCTCCTTATCTTTCTACTACATGCTATGGTTTTACAGTTGCCGCTCTCAGAGCACTGCTGGAGTGTTTGAAGGTGACAGACTCTTCATTTTATGCATGTGCAAACCCTTTGCCTTTTCTCAGCAAGCACAGTATTCTCATCAACAACACAAGCAACACAAAAAGCAAGACTTCCCCAGCTTTGCTGCTTGATTGCCCTTTGATATCTGAGCATCACTTCCTGAATGTCTTGCTATGGGAGATGAGGCATACTTTTAAAACTGCACCACACACCAAACATTTGTGGCTGCTCAACTGCCATAATATTAAGTCTCAGCCTTACTCAACAGTCTACCCATTTCCTGAGGTTTGGTGAGAGAACTCACGAGAGTTATGAGTCTGTGGAACCTATGTTCTAACCCACTCTTCATGCCTAATATGAATCTAAAGAGTGGAGTGGCTGGTGATTAGACACTAGAGCCTGACTCCAAAAATGCCTCAAGACTTGGGAGATCTGCGACCAGAACTAGCTAAATAATCAGTGAAACTCCATGCAAAATGAAAATGAGGGGGCTCCTTTTTCATATAGTATTAAGAATTTCAGGGTACATAGTAGCATAAACTCAGTTCAGGGTCCTTCTGAGCTCAGGGTTATGTGCAACTGCACAGATCACATGCCCATGCCTGGGTCATCCAAGTGCCCCACTACAGAAATCATCAGCCCAGTAAATGGTTTTTCTGGGGAGAATTAATGTTCAAGGATTTTGTCAAACTATAACTCCTACCACCAAAGGCAGCATTAGCCTCTTCCTGACCACCCGCCCCCCCCCCAGCAGTTTGTTCCTATTGCTATTACCATTTAGCACTTATCACATTGTATTGCCTTTCATTTGTATACACATCTATCTCATTCTCTGGGCTGTGAGCTCCTCAGAGTTGCAACGATCCTGTTTATCCTTGTGTTGCTAACACAACACAACATCGCAGGTAGTTAGCACTTATTAAATATTTGTAGATAAGGGTCCACATTTTCCTCTACCCATCCCTCCCTGCCTCCCAGGGCCCTGTTATATCTCCTGTTCTTAGCCCACCCCAACTAAGTCATCAGACCTTGCCTGAGGTATTCCTCCTAAGGCAAAATCTTTGTTGGTCTGAAAGGAAAGAGGTTGACATCTGCAGGCCCCGGGCCTCTGTCAATAGTTGCTGCTGGGCAAGGGTAGCTGTAGTGAGATGGCTCCATCAGGTCAAGAAATCCCTTTGTTTTCATGACACTTCAAAGCAACTTGTATTCTCAATGATCCTTATTCTTGCCCTCTATATGCCAAACCCTGGATAAACTTTAGGGTCAGCCTGAACCCAATTGTGTAGAAAACTCATGATCTTCAGAGCTTTCATGCAGCCAGTGCACACTGAACAGCCCCACAAGTTGTTTACAGCTGATGCCCTTTCTGATCGGTCCGTGCCCATGTCATTTAGGCTGTTAAATGTTTTGAATATTGCCCGTGCTGGCCCCAAACACTGTTTCTCATTAAAGACAGCTCACTGAGAATGACATGATAATGAACAAGAGCAGGAGGAAGAGCAGAAGAAAATGTAACCATATTGCCTCTCATTTTACAAACTATGTATTAAATCAGTTTATCTTCACAAGGTGATAGAGATGAGGAAAAGGAGAAGAAAATAAGCTTTGCATTTTGCCATGTTACATTTTAAAAGTACTCATCCTTCGGCTTTCACTTGGAAATGTTCCCTGGGTTTCCAGAACAGACCAAGTGCCCTGGCTATTCTCCTCAGAAGCACCATGATACTCACATATTTTGCGTCTGTCCATTTGTTGGTGTGGTCCTCTGATCAAAGTTGGTATCTTCCCTTAACCAGAAGTTCTAGAGAACAGGAACTATATCCGTTTTTACCCACCATGGTAACCCCAACTCCTTGTATCTTGCTTTAAAATGTAGATGCTCAAAAAACATCTGTATTATAAATTAAATTAATAAATACCCATCAAGTATCGGCACCCCAACTGATCCTGCATAAATATATACATTAATTCATAAATGAATGAATGAATCAATGAATTTGCTTACTTCAGAAGTTGTTTCAAGAGAGTCTAGGAAACACATGAGTGAATTCCATTTATTAATTCAATCCACAAATATTTATTAAGCACACTCTATATGTCAGGTACTCTTAGAGCCCGGGGATATAGAAGTGAATGAAAAAGACCCCCCAAAATTGGAGAATATTTCCCCCAGAATCTCCAAAGCACTCTCTGCCTGTTTCTTCCAGGAAGAGAGGCAAAACGTAATTTGCTTTTTGCAAAGATCATAGTAAAAGAAGAGGCAATGACCCAAACGTCCATCAGCCCAGATATTCCAGGTTCTTGTTCCAGCTCTTCCACCACTTGGCAATATGATTTTGGGAAAGAAATACTCCTAATACTCCTAACACCTTAGACCTCGTGGAGGCGGTGGCCTTCATCTCTCAAATGCCTTCTAACTTCCAGAGTCTATAAATTTAGGTAAACATGTTTTTAATAAAACAATCCCTAGAAATTAACTTGGAAACTTAATTTTTGAATGAAAGCCCTTTAGAAAATTTAGTTGTCATAACATATGAAATATACCTAAAGTAGAATTTAGAAAAAAAAAAAAAAAAGCATCCTTAAGAAACTAGATGAGCTGCATCTGTGGCAGCTCTTCAGTGGGATCCAAGGCCAGGAAGACAAGGAACTCTAAAAGGTACAACAGTCAGATGGCTACAGCTTTCCATTTGTGTCCTCAGGCCCAGAAGCAGCTAGAAGAGATGCAGACTTCCTCACTGTGAATGGGATTCTGGGGGAATCAGTTACTTTCCCCTTAAATATCCAGGAGTTGCAAAGAGTTGTCACCATTACTTGGACTTCTGGAACCTCTGTTGCTTTTGTAACACCCAGAGGCTCAGGAACAGCACCCCAAGTTGTTGTGACTCACAGTAATTACGATGAACGAATACACGTCTTGGGTCAAAACTACAACCTGGTCATTAACGATCTGAGGATGGAAGATGCAGGAGACTACAAGGCAGACATACGCATGGACTTGTCCTACACTACCACCAAGTGCTACAACCTGCAAGTCTATCGTAAGTCATGGGGGGGACGGAGGGCTTGCCTTTTATTTTTACTTTGCGAATTTGCCATCTAAGCAATACCTATATTTCTTATAGTTGGATTCCCTAAATCTTTTTATGCTTATAAATACTTAGATAGTAATAAATACATCAGAACTTATAAAGAGAATGGAGTCTTACTTCAGTCCTAGCTTTGTCAGTTTTTTGCCATGTGCTCTTTCATCAGCAGTTTGCCCCCTGGGCCTTGTTTTTCTTTTTTATAAATTGTCAATAATCATACTACTCACTTCCCAGAGTTATTGTGAGAATCAAGTGAGATAGTGTATGCAAAGTCCTATTTTGAAATAATTATAGATGCATAGGAAGGTGCAAAGAAGCATACAGGGAGGTTCTGTGTCACCTTCACCCAGTGTTAACATCTTGCATAACTACAGCACAGTAGCACAATAGCAAAGCCAGGAAATTAACACTGGTACAATCTGTAGAGCTTATTTAGATTGCACCAGGTACATATGCCCACATTTACATGGGAATATGGGTGTGGCTCTGTACAATTTAATCACATGTGTAGCTCTGTGTAACCACTACCACAATCAAGATAAATTAACTGTACACATGACAAGATTCCTTCATGCTCTCCCTTTATAGCCACACCTATTACCTCCCTCTTTCCCCACCAGAACCCCGGAAGCCACTCATTCGTTCATATCTATAATTATGTTATTTCACAAATGGAATTCAAATGGAATCATGAAGTATGTATCCTTTTGAGGTTGGTTTTTATCACTCAGCATAATTTCTCTGAAATTCATCCAAACTATTGCATCTATTAATAGTTTATACCTTTTTATTGCTGATAGTATTCCATGCTATGGATGTATTAGTCTGTTTAACCATTAGTATTAGTTTGTTTAACCATTTACCTATTGAAGGTCATTTTAGTTGTTTCCAGTTTGGGGCTCTTACAAATAAAGCTATGAATATTTGTGTACAAATTTCTGCATAAAATAAGTCTTTATTTTTCTGGGATAAATGCTTAAGAATAAAGTCGTATGGTAAGTCCATTTTCAATTTTAAAAGAAATTGACAAACTATTTTCTACTTTACATTCTCACCAGGAACATCTGAGTGATGCAGTTTTTCCACATCTTCACTAGCATTTGGTATTATCATTATTTTTCATTTTGGTCATCTGATGGTTGCGCAGTGACAGCTCAAATTAGTTTCAATTTGAATTTCTCTAGTACCTGGTACAAAATGCTTTTTAAAGGTAAAATATTAGAGCTATTTGTTATCATCATTATAACTGCCACAATTCACTGGGAGATGTGTGTGATTTGTTATGCAATGCTATCCAAAGTGTGGTCTGCAGGCCGGGCGCTGTGGCTCACGCCTGTAATCCTAGCTCTTGGGAGGCCGAGGCGGGCGGATTGCTCAACGTCAGGAGTTCAAAACCAGCCTGAGCAAGAGCGAGACCCCGTCTCTACTATAAATAGAAAGAAATTAATTGGCCAACTGATATATATATCAAAAAATTAGCCGGGCATGGTGGCGCATGCCTGTAGTCCCAGCTACCCGGGAGGCTGAGGCAGAAGGATCACTCGAGCCCAGGAGTTTGAGGTTGCTGTGAGCTAGGCTGACGCCACGGCACTCACTCTAGCCTGGGCAACAAAGTGAGACTCTGTCTCAAAAAAAAAAAAAGGCCCTTCCCCCACCCCCAACCCTTTGGGAGTGAATGAAGCTCAGGAATCTGTTCATTACTCTTTCTGGATTATTCCTATATGTGTTAAAGTTTGAGAAGCACTGATCTAGAGCTGCCCTGTCCAATGTGGTAGCCACTAGCCACATGTGGCTCTCGAGCATCGAAATGTGGTGAGTCCAAACTGAGGCATGCTGCAAGTGTAAAATGCACACCAGATGTTGAAGTCTTAGCACCAAAAAATAGAATATGAAATATCTCAATAAGCTGTATATTGGCACAGGTTGAAATGACATTTTGGATATATTGGGTTAAATAAAATGCATTATAAAATTACTATTGCGCCGCCCACCGTGGGCGGCGCCACTCCCCCTCCCCCGGCGGCCCCGTGCGCTGCTCCCCCGCCGCCGCCGCCGCCGCCGCCTCCCCCTCCCCCTCCCCCTCTGATGAGGCTCGAGCTTGAAGCGCGCAGGGCCAGAGACGCCGTGTAGACCCGCGACCCGGAGCAGCTCAAGAGGCGGTGAATAATAGCTCTTCAAGTCTGCAATAAAAAATGGCCTCCAATAAAACTACATTGCAAAAAATGGGAAAGAAACAGAATGAGAAGAGTAAAAAGGTTGAAGAGGCAGAGCCTGAAGAATTTGTGGTGGAAAAAGTACTGGATGGACGTGTAGTAAATGGGAAAGTGGAGTATTTCCTGAAGTGGAAGGGATTTACAGATGCTGACAATACTTGGGAACCTGAAGAAAATTTGGATTGTCCAGAGTTAATTGAAGCATTTCTTAATTCTCAAAAAGCTGGTAAAGAAAAAGATGGTACAAAAAGAAAGTCTTTATCTGCCAGTGAATCTGATGATAGCAAATCAAAGAAGAAAAGAGATGCTGCTGACAAACCAAGAGGCTTTGCCAGAGGTCTTGATCCTGAAAGAATAATTGGTGCCACAGATAGCAGTGGAGAATTAATGTTTCTTATGAAACAGAAAGATTCAGATGAGGCAGATTTGGTGCTGGCAAAAGAGGCAAATATGAAGTGTCCTCAAATTGTAATTGCTTTTTATGAAGAGAGACTAACTTTGCATTCTTGTCCAGAAGATGAAGCTCAATAATTGTTTGCATTGCTTTTTATATATATTTATATATATATATAAAATCTGGGTCTTGGTTTTTGATTTACTAGTGTGAAGAAATAACTACATCTAATAAATCAAGTTTGATACATTTGTTTTGAAAGTAGTATTGAGAGAGTTGTTGGGGGGGGGTTGCATCAATAGCACTGGTTACTTTGAACAAATAAAAGCTTTCTGTAGTTGCTTCCTTTATCAGAAAAGAACATATGATACCATGGTATATTACTTCCTCTGTGCTAGGGAACAGCTTTTCTAAATGCTAGGGGAAATTTCCATACCCATTATTCAATCAGAGCTTGTGTTTAACTCATGCCTAAGGACCATTCTGGGTTTTTTTAATTTGTTTTTGTGTGTGTATACGTAAAATGCATATGTAAATGATTGTTTTTAAACATTCACCAAAACAAAAATCACGGGTAAGCCCATGTGTCTGCGATGCTATCATTTTGAGCAACCTAAGAATTGAAAATTTTCCTGAAGCCATAACATTTCAAACTGAATAGTCGGTTCGTAATTAATTGGATAATTTAAAGGCAGCCATATCCGAAGACATAGCTGCATGTTTATTCATATAAATGCAACATTGTGTTTGCAGAATTCCTAAAAGGAAAAGCTTTATCGCTACCAACAATCTCCCCACCCAGATGAGGAAACTAGATAAATTCTGGTGTGTTCTAATACTGTAAACAAGACTTTAGTTAAATGCACATTAAAGATTCCCCTAGTGAGCAATTGTTTTACAAGAACTTGAAATCCCTATGCTGCATTGAATAAAAGTTCATGATTAATGGAATATCTGAGGCTTGGCTCATGGAAACTTAATCAGATGGTTAGAAATGTTGGCAGTTTCAGATGTGCTGACGTAATGGGTAAACAAACTTTTTGTAATCTATTGACTGCATGTTTTTTCCTTACCCCAACTCATTTCTTACATGTAGGCTCAATCTTTTCAGTATTTGGGTTACTGGTTCTGCAGAAGCCAGGAAAACAGCCTTGTAGTAATCAGAATGTTATCCAACTGTATATTGTTTACTTTATTGTAAATACTGGTGAACAGTGGTCAATAAATAGTTTTATATTCCTTTAAAAAAAATTACTATTGTCTGTGTATTTTCACTATTTAAAACATGGCTATTAGAAAATTTTAAATAACATAAGTGAGTCACATCACGTTTCTAGTGGGCAGCGCTAGTTTCTAGCATAGAAGACATGTGGGCTATTGCTCAAAGATTTCATTGTCCATCTATCTGCCTCATAGCAGAAAAAGACAGAAATGTGACTAATCCATATTGTAATAGATACAATTCAGGTATATAGTTCACCCATTAAAATGTGAGTTCCATGAAGGCAGAGACTTTGTATGTTAAGTTTATTGGTGTAGCCCCAGCACCTATATTGCCAGGCACATAGTGAATGCTGCAGAAGTATTTGTTGAATAAACTTATGCATGTATCATAATATTCCCAGATTCCATAGTTCCTGACAATTATAAGTGCTCAATGAATAGAGGATGATTGAATCAGGTTGTGTCTGGATGGAAGGCATAGTGGAAAGAACATTAGTGCTGGAATTAGACAGACTGTGCCAGCTATGTGACCTTGGGCAAGTTGTTTAACCTCTCTGAGCCCAAGTTTTCTCACCTATAGAATGTGGATTATAATAGGTGGTATTAAATGAGATGTTAGTTTAGCACCTAGTATGATGCATGACTTAAAGTAAATGTTAAATAATTAGTACTCATTGTTAATTTTTTAATCCTTAGCCCCTTTTAAAATTCTAGTTATTAAGAACTTCCTAGATGAAGAAGGCTCTGAATTGGGCTTGAATTACGTAGTCAAAGAACCATATCCAAGTGTGGACCCTTTAGAAAATATTTGACTCATTCGAAAACTTCGGTCGGGAAAATAAAAAGGGTATTAAATTTTTAAAAGTTTATTTTTATCCCTTTATGTGTTTAGCTTTGCCTGCCCAATCTTCAGGAGATGTTGTACCACCTGCAATTAGGGCAGACTACAGAAAAGTCTTAGAGAAAGCAATGTTGTACATATATCAAAATCTGTACCTTATGGGCAGTTAGTTGAGAAGATAGAGAGAAGGAAATTGACATTTATCGAACACCATCTATGGTGCTCAGCAGCATTCTACTACCGAATTTAAAGATGATATAGATTATACATATTTAAGCAATATTATGCATGACCACAGCAAAAGATAATACAGTGAAGTGTAACTCTCCCTTCTCAGAAGCAGTGGCTGTTGCCTGCTTATTTTGTCTCTTCTATAGATGATTAATGTAGGCCGGGCGCGGTGGCTCACGCCTGTAATCCTAGCACTTGGGAGGGCGATGCGGGCGGATTGCTCGAGGTCAGGAGTTTGAAACCAGCGTGAGCAAGAGCGAGCCTCCGTCTCTACTATAAATAGAAAGAAATTAATTGGCCAACTAATATATATAGAAAAAAAAAATTAGCCGGGCATGGTGGCACATGCCTGCAGTCCCAGCTACTCGGGAGGATGAGGCAGGAGGATTGCTTGAGCCCAGGAGTTTGAGGTTGCTGTGAGCTAGGCTGACGCCACGGCACTCACTCTAGCCTGGGCAACAAAGCGAGACTCTGTCTCAAAAAAAATTTTTTTTAATTAAAAAAAAAAGATAATTAATGTACATACAAGCATATATCGATAGATAACAGATGGACAAATTTATATGTAATATCTCATATACTTTATATGTAATATCACATTGAATCCTCACAACCCCATCCAGAGGAAATTGTTTTCCTGGTGCTATAAATGAGGGAGCTGAAGCTCAGTGAAGCTGTACACCTTCTCCACCATTCTACAGCTAGGGGTAGTGTGGCCTGGGTTCTCAGCCAGGTCTCCAGTGGCTTCCACACTCTTGGCTTGGGAGGATGAAGATCTGTCAGCCATCACTCTGACTTTCTCTGCCCAACACCTTTGTGCGGGTAACAGTTCTGTTACCCTGGGAAAAATGAGATAATGAGATGGGATCCTATTCTTCACCACTATCCCCCCACCTCAACACCCAGCAAACAGAAAAACAAAAAAAGTCTTTCTAAAAATCAGCAAATACTAAGCAGTGACATAGACATTCTTGTAAACTAAATTTCTAAAGAAATACGCACATACACACACTCAGTTTGGTTCATTTTTTACTAATTCACATCTGTATCGATCATTGTTAGAGCTAATCAAGGTCTTCACTCCAAATTTCTTTAGGTTTGTTTCAAGTCACTACTAATTCTAATCTGGAATAAAGCCCTCTAAGAGACTGTTGGGATCAGGGTTTCTGGCTAGCTTGAAATAGTTCCTAACTTTTTTGTGCTATTCACAAAACTTTACAGCTTCTTAATATTCATGTTTTACTCCTTCACAAGCACAGATTAATGGTTCTAATATTTATACTGCTGAACTTATTGCCTTTCTAGACTTTGACTCTATATTAATTAGAAGGTTGCTTGCCAGTTCCTTTTGACTGCTTTGTTCCTTTCCTCATATGGCTACAATGGAGAGAACAAAAGTGCACTAAAGTTATCAGCTCTGAATGTGGCTATTTTCTTACTTCCTGGTAGAAGAAAAGAACTTCCCCTTCCTTCTGCCAGCTCCAGATCTAGCTATTACTTGAACTTAAATATAATTGTTCTTTAGTAACCCTTTACTAACCTACAACTTTTACAGTTTACCTTTTAATTGCTCTAGTAAAAACATTTTTTAAATGGACTTTTAAAGAGATTATAGCTTTTCACCATGGATATTTTAAAACAAAACAAAACAAAAAACTTAAAGAAAACACATACACACCAGAAAACAGAACCAAAATTGTTTTGTTTTGTTTTTTTGGTGTTTTGTTTTTTTGTGTTTTTTTTGAGACAGAGTCTTACTCTGTTGCCTGGGCTAGAGTGCCATGGTATCAGCCTAGCTCACAGCAACCTCAAACTCCTGTGCTTAGGCGATCCTCCTGCCTCAGCCTCCTGAGTAGTTGGGACTACAGGCATGCACCACCATGCCCGGCTAATTTTTTCCATATATTTTTAGTTGTCCAGCTAATTTCTTTCTATTTTTTTAGTGGAGACGGGGTCTCGCTCTTGCTCAAGCTGGTCTCAAACTCCTGAACTCAAACGATCCTCCCACCTTGGCCTCCCAGAGTGCTAGGATTACAGGCACGAGCCACCGCGCCTGGCCTCTAAAATTGTTTTTAAAAGATTGTTTCATGTAATAGTGTGCGGATAAATGTTCAGCTGGCTCTTGATGGGGTGTGGGTGTATATGCATATATATATAATTTATATTTCGTATAAATTTTATTGACATGAAGGATGTGTAGCACAGTTTTATTAATGATAAAAAATATGATAGGCTTTCTTATAAATTACACATAGCCAATTATTCTTACAGAATGCTGTCATTGATTTTTGCTGAACGTTTATTTCCCTAACCAACCTATAGTTGCAATTGATGATTGAGTATAGTTCCAACATGAATGTTGGTTGATATTTTCATTTAAGTTAACTAATAAGAAAAAAGTGATTCAACAAAGACATACATATTGGAGCGTCACTTCTTCATCCAGGACATGAGCAACTTCTTTGCTGAACTGGGTAATGGCTATCAAATACTAGAAGAATAGTTCCTAACTTTTTTGTGCTATTCACAATGTAATGGCTACAGATACGATACACTTTTAAGTTTAATCTGCATTAGTAACCTTTTCTCCATTGCTATAATATTTTAGTCCCCAGCAACAATTAACAAAACAGTAAATCAAGCCCTGGTTTATGGCATTTGCCAGTTTCTATGGGGTAAATACTCTCACTACGGCTAATTTTAAGATATACACAGTTAGAAAGACATGCCCACTCAACGTTGTTACAAAAGGCAGAACTATAGTTGGAAATAACCTCAGGAGCATAGACAATAGTAAAATGTCAGAAAATAATGAGATGTCAGCCACAGTGGCATAGTCCCAGCTACTCAAGAGGCTGAGACAAAAGGATCACTTGAGGCCAGGAGTTCAAGGCCAGCCTGGGTAACATGGTGAGATCCTTTCTCCAAAAAAATAAAAAATAAAAATAATAAAATAATGAAAAATAAAATGAATAATTCAATGACTTTTTAAAAGTAATAATTAGAACATGATGAGGTTTGAGTATTTATTATCCTTGTTTTTAATATAATTTATTTAATTGTAAGTTTCACACTTTATTTTTTAGTAATGGCTATGTTTAACCACCACTTTGCAAAATTTCTGAAAATTGAACAACTGGCCCTCCAAAACTGGCACAAGGCAGCTCCAGCTCACCACTGGCTCGTGTGTTTTCCTCTCATAGGTCGGCTTGAGAAGCCAAAAATCACACAGAGTTTAACGACATCTGTGAACGGGACCTGTAACGTCACGCTGACATGTTCTGTGGACAAAGAAGAAAAGAACGTGACATACAGCTGGAGTCCCCCAGGAAAAGAGGGCAATGTCCTTCAAATCTTCCAGCCCCCAGAGGACCATGAGCTGACTTACACGTGTACAGCCTGGAACCCCGTCAGCAACAATTCTGAGTCCATCTCCACCCAGCAGCTCTGCACAGGTAACCAGCTCTGACTCTCCTGGTGAGGCTCAGAAAGCACTCTAAAGAGCAGCAAGGCCTGAACGTGGGCCTCATTCTCTAGGAGAATGTTCCTCCCTTACACCGGGCCTGGTCCAGGGGCATCCCCTCCCTGGAAAGAATTCAAAGCCTTCTGAGAGATGCCGAGCATTTCAGGGTGTTTGGTGGCAGCTCCTGCTTGACTCTCTGATTTAGTTTTCAATCCTGACCTTTAATAGCAGAAAGTATAGTTCCCCTAGCAGCTTTGGCACTCCCTTGGAGAGTACCCGGTGTTGATAATGCCCCTGAAAGTGGGCAAGCCTGCCCAGCCTCATGGGCCTATTTCCTGAGAGTCAAGACTCATTGCATCTTCTGTTTCCAGACACCGCAATGGGCTTCCGTGCTCACCACACCAGGTTGCTGACTCTGCTGGCTGGGTTCTTTCTGATTGCTCTCATTCTGTCTTCAGTGTTTTTGTTCCTTTTGCGCAAGAGAAGACAAGGTAGGATTTTCCCAGAAGGTAAAAACATGGAAATGCACTTTTTTTTCCCCCAGTGACTAAAGTCATTTTTTTCCAAGATGTGGAAAGGTCCTTTGTTCCAGGGTATCAACCTTCCTAAAATCTTCACCCCACTGCCAGAATCCAGCCGGCTACACCAAACTGCAGGGGAGTAGTTGAGGCAGGCCCACGAGGAGATTAGCTACTTCTCCACGAGAAGCCAAGTCCCTAAGATAGGAGTCACCACAGAAGATAAGGAAACTGATAGGAAATAGAAAGAATAAAAGAATACACAGAGACTAAGGTATAGTTTATAGTTTTATATAAAAAGATCAGATATAACACAGCGGGTACTCAGGAGACTGGTGTATCCCCATGAACACCAGCAATATGGTTAGATTCATACAGGTTTTTATAATCACAGACATCAATTACCAGTTGTCAGGGTAACATATTTGCATATCAGGGAATGCAGTTGCTAGGGGATACAGGTAGTGGGTTGGGGTCAAAAGTGATCTCAAAGGGCTTCTAATCTAACTAGGTGAACCAACAGGTACAAAGTCTTTCAGGGGCTAACTTCTAAGTTCTAAGAGATAGTTGTCAATTAACAGAGGTATAACAAAAGAGGTATAGTGACTCTATATTTCATTGATTAGTTACTGTGGACTTTAAGGTAGACAGACAGGACAGAGCAGGAAACCGATCTCTATAAAACAGGTCGTTTATAACCACGGGGGTGCTTCTCTGGGCAAAGTGCACTCATTGTCTCCGGCTCCCATCCTGTGGGCCATATTTGCCTTGTCTTGTCTTTCAAGACACAGGGAAGCTCACAGATTTTGAGATACCTGGATGCCTTCCTGGAAAACATCCCTACTGGAGATTTGAGAGCTCTCCCATGATAGCAGCCTCTAATAAGTGAACCACCGCGTTCACATATTCCTTTAGGGCAACACCCTGCAAGTTCCTGTTTCCATCTTTAATATAGCAATATTGAGTTATACAATAAAATAATGGTCTTATGAGCTACATCTCATTAATTCCTCAATCATATTTCTCAATACCCCACCACCTCAGCACCCCCCAGAATGAAGGTCCTGAGGACTCTGTGACATCACCCTGGATGGTCTTCAGGGTCTGTTCCTGAGATCACCAGTATTGGGTGGGCCCAGAACTTGGGTTCGAGTTTAGGGCTGCCATTAACAAGCTGTGCTTCACTGGACAAGTGTGTTCACCTCTCTGGCCCAGCGTGCTCACCTGTGAAATGTTCAGACTAGAGCGTCTCCGGGGTCACTTCCAATTTCATCATATTTTGATAATGACCTTTGGAGAATCACTAAAGGCCATGTATTAATTTTGTATGCTATGGTTGTCACTAGATCTCTCTGAATCCCTCTGGATCTTTCTGTAATTGTGCCATTCTCAATTCAGAAAACCTGATCTTAGACCCCTAAGGAATCATGACACCCTCCTATTCTCCCTCATCCATGTCCACCCAAGATCTTCCTTTTCCCAGCAATCACAATAAAACACATGGAACCTTCGCTTCCATGTTCCTGACTCTCCTTTGGGTATGATTCCTCAGGTTCCTACTTGAAGACCTTCACTAACAGCCCTGGTAAGTTCTCAGCCACGAGGTTCTCTGAATAATAATTAGGAGGGTTGGAGGGTTCACAGCAGTGGTTAAGACTAGCACGTACTTTGCAATCTGTCTGCGAAGGTCCCAGTTAACCATTTACCAGCTACCAGTTATTTTATCACTATAAGCTGCCATTTCCTCAGTTATAAAATATTCATAAAAAGTAGAGCATCCTGCATATATTTATTAAGTGGATTAAATGGAATTAGACATATGGAATACTCGGCCCAGTTCCTGTTACACAATAAGTACTCAGTAAATCTTAGCTACTATATTTATAATTGACGGGCCTGGGCATGGTATAGTGGGGGCATTCTAGGGGACGGGGATGGGGGCTTGGGACTTGTGCCATACTCAAATGGCCTCATGATGGGGGGAAGTCACTGCATGCTCAGGCCACAGGCGGCCTGTAAGTTCCCTCAGAGATACATGTGTCTTCAATCCCTCTCAGGGATTTAGAGATGATATACTCCAAAATCCTCCAAGGGAGGGATTGTCACTCCCTTTTGGAGAGAGAAAAGGGTTATTCTTTGCATCTATAAAAGATATAAAAGCAAGCACTCAGTCCAGCTCACTCACTAGGTCGAGGGCAGGGGCTGGGATAGGACAAAACTCTGAAATGTTGAAGCCCTGTGATCCTACTCAGCTCAGACCTGTTATCTGTAGCTGTATTGGTGCCCTTGAACATGAAGGCCCCAAATTTTGGCTATCTATGTTCAGCTTGACCCTAAGATTTTCTGTGTTAGTAGAAAAGTACTCCAAAGAAAAGAAATACACTGAGATAAAAGCCTCTTCTACCGCATACATTTTTTACAGTAGGGACTCATCTACTGTCTTTGCTTCTCTGAAGCCTTCCACAGAGCCTGACACATAGAAAGAGCTTGATAAATGTTTATTATCTGTGCGAATCAATCAAAAGCAGCAATAAATGTTTATGGGGCATCTACTATGTGGTTGACATTGAGGTGGTTACAGTAGGGTACACACCAGAAGAATGCAACACAGTGCATAACTAGGGGGAATCAATTAAGTTAAAAAACTAAGACTCAGACATGAAAAGTCAGTTAGCCATGCAAGGCAGTCAGTGCTGTGGCCAGAGACACTTAGTAAGACCCTGGGTGGAAGAGCTGCCTTTGACTGCCCACACAGGGGCTGGGGAGATTCTCTTTAGCCTCATCTGGACTGTAGAGTAGATGAGGGAGAATTTAGTGGGAGAATTCCCACTGAGCCACGTGCAACCTCTGGAAAGAGACAGAGGCAGTCCGAGGATCTAGGCACCCATCTCAAGCGATGGAAGCCACTTAACCCCTTAGGGCTTCATTTCTTCATCTTAAAAAGAGAACGTTGGAGTAGATCATCTCTAAAAACTCACCCACCTTTCACAGAATGTGGTTCTATGTTTATTTGTGACACAGATGCTGCATCAAAGAAAACAATATACACATACGTCACAGTTTCAAGAGACCCTCAGCCAGCGGAGTCCAGGATCTATGATGAAATCCCCCAGTGCAAGGTGAGCAGGTGCTACTCATGGACAGCCCCGTCCCCACCATCGCCAGGTGGGGGAGCGCAGGCAGCCCTGCCCTCTACTTGCTGTTGTCTAGAGCGCAGCCACCGCAAGAGTCTGGAGGATCCAACCAGCAAATACCATGTCAGGGAAATCATGCCAAGAATCTTTTTATGAGGACAGGAGCGTGGCCAATTGTCACCTGATGGCAGCCTCCGTGGGTTGCAGCCATGAGCTTCCGCAGAGGGCCTGACTCCAGGCTGGGTGACAGTCAGGACTAGGAGCAAAGCGACACCCTAGAGGGGCCGCACAACAAGGGAGCCCTGGTGTGGGGTGAGGGCTGTTCTGTGACTAGTCACATGGCGAAGGTTGCTAAGGGGGCTTCCAGGCCACAGAACTCACAGAGAGACCCCCTTGAACTACACTTTCTGGCCTAGCAGCAGCAGCAGGTAGCTTTCCCCAGACTCAGAGTCACTCTGTCCCACACCCCTCCTCGCACCCGCCTGCCCCTTCCCCGCCTCCACCCTGGATGACCTTCCTCCATGCTCCCACCGCCTGCTTCCCTGAGTCTGCAAGGAGTGAAGGGGAAATGGGGTCTGCCTGGTGCGTCTAGCACCGTGCGTGGACTCACAGGGCAGCTGGATCCTCAGAGGCGTGGAAAGCTAAAATGCTCACCAAGCAAGACTCAGTCTGAGCCACACAGATCCCTCCCCTTGGCTCCTGGGGTTTTGTGGCCGCCAGGCCCTGCCCACCCACTCCTGGCCCTGATCCTCTCCGAAGCTGGATGGAGCCAGCGCTGAGGCCGGGGGAGGTCCCACCTAGTGACGTGGGACAGGGAGGGCTGGGCTGGGGCAGGATTCGAAGGGGGACTCCTGCTGTCGGGCCTGGGGCTCCCTGACTGGGGGGAACGTGGGTGTTTTCCAGGTGCCGCCCTCCAAGGAAGAGCCAGCGAACACGGTCTACTCCATTCTGCAGTTCTCTGATAAGGTCAATCCTTTCTGGCTCTTTGTCCCTGTTTTCCTATCTGCCCAGCCATTCTGGTGGACCCGGTCCATCCAACCAGGGGCCAGCTGGCTCCCTTGGGACTCTTCTCCATGCTTCGCGGGAGTAGCTGCCTAGGGCTTTGCTCTACAGCTGCTCCACGCACGCACGCACAGAGCCCCGCTCCCCGGTCCACGGCCATCTACAAGTTGGTGGACTTGGGATGCCGACCCCACCTTTCACGTGCGGAAGCCCCCAGGCCTCCGATGACAGTATGGGAACTCCCGCCCCTATAATACCCAAGGCCACTGCTAGCTCACAGTGTGGAAATTAGAGAACAGGTGCCTCCCTCTCATAAGTCACAGGCCCACATCCGGTGCCCCAGTCAGCAAATGAGACGACAGAAGCTGAATTTCAGCTCCCATTCGCTCCCTCGGCTGCCCTTTTACTGCACGCGGCCTGCGCGACCATTTGCAGTGGTCTAGGGACACAATTCCCTGTGCCTATGTCCTTCTCTGCAGTGTTTTCTGGGGATCTAGAGAGGGATTGTCACTATCTGAAAGTCCTCACTTCTGCTACAGTCAGGACAGCTTTGGGGGGCACTTGAAGTATTATCAGATGTTTTGTAAGCACTCCTGTTTAATGGCTGAGCTACCAGGCAGGAAGCTAAAATGGGTTAGGGTTAAGAGCTGATTCTGTAAGGCAACAGGGAGGACATCCATGAGATGACAGGCAGGGCGGTGCCGCTTCCTCCTAAGGGGGACTTAACGCACAGGGGTAGTTTGAATGTCAAGGTAAGCCAAATGCACTGGAGAGCCAGACCGAAGGACCTGTACTTCTGCAGTGATCAGGTGAGGGGAGGAGGGGAAGGCAAAGAAGTGGAGGGGACAGGAGGAAGGAGAAGCCAGAAGCCAGGGCAGGGTGCCCAGCGTGTTTGCACCAGGATTTGAAGGCAGTGCGGGGAAGAAGAGTAACCCAACTTCCCAGCTGGTGCACAGAGAAGGAGATAACATCTGAGGAGTTAATCACGGAGTCTTAGATTGAGAGATCTCAAAGTAAATTCTTACAGGCAAGTTGGATGGCAATTACTCACCCATGAGTGTTTAATTTAAACCTAAGACTCCTCAAGCCAATGAGACAATTGTTTGCAGCTCTCTATCTGCCTAGAGCACTTGAGATGTTAGTGGTGACTCATGATTGTGTATAGGAAGTGGAGTTATTTGGATGCAAAAAGAAGGAGGGCTTAACTAAAAACAAGGAATCCAAGTAGCTTGAGCCTGGGTGTTGCCTCAAGCCTGTAATCAAAACCAATGCCCAATACCCCTCCCCAAATTCCTTTCTACTGCTCTTTTCTGTTAGTTACCCAAAGGCTCCCAACTGGGTGGCTGGAGCAGAGGCAAGGGACTCAGCAAAAGACAAGGCCCTGCTCCCCACTAGATTTCCCCAGCCCTGGGCAAATCTAGTGCATCCCTCATGCCATTTGCTTAACTCTCCTGGGAACCTCGCTGGACTGGCGTCGCCCAGTGGCAGCTTTCAGTGAACAAGCTCTGACATATCCCTCTCGTGCACAGATGGGGAAAACCAGCACACAGGACAGCAAACCTCTGGGAACGTCAAGCTACGCAATTGTGATCTAGGCTGCCAGACAGAGCTCTCCCTCTGGAAACTGAGACACAACCACCAACACTGGCAGGTGCCCTGGACCCAGCCCTTCTCTGCCCAGCTCTTGCTGAGAGACTGCAAATCACCACATCCCAGCATGTAAGCAAAGCAGGAAAACCTCTGTTGCTGGACATCGCTTGTGCCTAGATGGACAGATGGACGCATGTCCTTTATGAAATGACTCTCTGCTGGACAAATGACAAAGCAGGTTCCCTAGGACAGTGCTCCCCAAACTTCTTCACAACACAGCACATGCAGAAAATAATATTTTTATGTAGCACACTGGGATAGAAAAAAAAATCAAGATTACTCACATCTGGAAGCTGCCTATGACCAGAGGCCTCTCATGACTGGAAGTGACAACCCTGCCTGGCAAGGACAGGATCAATACTTTGCACACCTGTAATATGCCATGGCACATCAGCTAGAATGCTCTGCTCACACTCAGTATATGTGAGTAGCCCTGGTGCATGGGCTCCACCAGTCCCTACAGCACCTCGAGCAAATTAGCACCGTTGTTCAAGGCAGGTGCAGCCCGGGTGCATGACTTGGAGAGCAGTGTGGGCTGCACATCATCCCCCACCCACCCCTTTGCCTGAGAACCTTCATGCAGGACACAACTGGCTCAACCAGCCCAAACACAGATGACGGTCCCGAGTGGGGGAGGCTGCCAGAGTTGTGGCTGTCAGCCATGCAGACACACTCCCCAAATGCAGTGTTGGAAAATGCTCTTTCTGTGGAGTCTAGACTGCTGGGGTACATTTCTCTGAGTTCTACTTTAGAAGCCTCGTAGGACTTTCTTTCTGGCCACGTTTTCCTTCTGAGTGACTCCAAGCAGCCTCAGCAAGAAGCAGCAGCTGTACCCAGTACCCCCACTCTCCCAAAGGAACTGACCAGCTATGTTTCTGGAACTTCAGGGGAACTGGGTGTAACCCAACCATCAAAAAAAGAGACCTTGGCTGGGAGCGGTGGCTCACACCTGTAATCCTAGCACTCTGGGAGGCCAAGGTGGGAGGATCACTCAAGGTCAGGAGTTCAAAATGAGCAAGAGCGAGACCCTGTCTCTACTAAAAATAGAAAGAAATCAATTGGCCAACTAAAAATATATAGAAAAAATTAGCCGGGCATGGTGGTGCATGCCTGTAGTCCCAGGTACTCGGGAGGCTGAAGCAGAAGGATTGGTTGAGCCCAGGAGTTTGAGGTTGCTGTGAGCTAGGCTGATGCCACGGCACTCTAGCCCAGGCAACAGACTGAGACTTTGTCTCAAAAAAAGAAAAAAAGAGACCTTGAATGAAGCAGAGTCATTCTCCAGAGGGAAGTTGGGAAATGATGGTGCAGATGGTGAAACTGGATTCACTTCAGTTCCTAGGGTTCAGCTCAGAGAGCCGTGGGGTTCAAACTGAGGCTGAGTGCCCCCACTTGACACCCCCAGCAAACACACAACCAGCCAGGTTACACGGCATCAACTCTCAGCAATGAGGAAGAATGCCCCGCAGCTGAGCAGGACATTCACGTGATCATTTGAGGAACTATTTCCCTGATGTGTCAGCAGACATAACCAGCTAATTCCTAACCCCCATGAACAATGTCAGGCTGGACAGCAGAAATGAGCTGCATGGAGGCAGAATGGAGGCATCCGTCCCCGTCAATGGACCTCTAGACCCAACTAGCACTGACTGCCACCAGCACTATGTTAGGGCTGCAAGGCTGCAAGTCTAAGATGTGCGTGATGTCTGCCCTCGTCTAGCTGAGGAGACGATCCCAGCACAGACACTACCGTTAAATCCTAACTGCAGCTGCAAGAAGTGGCATGAGCTAGATCAGCCAGGAAAGACCTTAGGGAAGATGGAGAGCTGAAGCTGGGCCTTGCAGGATGGATGGACTTTGGATAGAGAAAGAGGAGCCCAGAAAACCTCCAAGTGCGAGAAGCATGAAAATGAGCAGCGGCCTGGGTCTGTGGGGTGTGTTCGGGGCGCCTCCCCAGATACACCGTGCATGCTCACAGAGCCTTGCCTATGCCTACCAGAGAGCTCGGTGCAAGGGGGACCCCACCCCCACGCATCCACGCGTCCTTCAATGCCCGCCTCAAATGGCACCTCCCCTCTGTGACTGACGCTTTCGCTGGTATTAACGGTCAAAATTAATCATGGCTCTTTTTGCATTCCTATTTTTCCTTTGGTCCTTCTATCACTATAACTCATTTCATTCTGCCTTACAGCACAAATAATTATTTGTTTTCCTCACTACATTGCACACTAATTACTGGAAAGATCCACGATGTATTCACTGCTCTAATCACCTCTGTATCTACCACCATCCAACATGGTGCCGTGTATCCTGTGTGTGAGCCACAAATACAGTCAAATAGGATTGAAAGTCACCAGCCAGCCCGAATAGAAGGTCTGTCCGGTCTTCCAGGAGAGCAAACTTGGGATGGGGCCGGTGCATAGGAATTCTTCAGGTGGCCTTTGGGCTCAGGAGCACCCTGCTCTTATCTCTCACTGCTTCTTTTCGATGTATCTTCTGGTTCATGAAGATGTAAGTTACCCTCTCCCTAGGGGTCAGCTCTCAGATTTTCCTTCTGTAAAATGACTATGATATGATTTTCCCTTTCACGTTTTTCCACATGAACTAGATTGTGACCAACAGGTCTATAAAATCAAAGTATTCTTTCAATGCAGCAGGATCTTGTGGCAGACCAAAATGTGCCAGTTTTTTTAGACGTGCATGGAAACATAAATCTCGGGGACAGTGCCCTCTAGTGGAAAGCATCAGTAAACCAGGACAGTCCCTCTTCTGTCGCACGCACCTTGGGCTTTACATGGGGACTCAACTGAGAAAATGAGGAGTGTTGCAGCTTGTGCTCCTGAGAAGAAGCAAGTGAAGCTGGTTTTAAAATGTGACTTTTAAAAACATCTGTGAAGCACTCTGAATGGCACAGCCTACATGAGACGAGCTTGGCTGGGCCAGCTTGGAAACTGGGCACAGGCAGGAAAGCGCCTGGCTGATCTGGGTGGTGTCCACAGAGAGCACGTCTCAGCCTCCGCCTGGAGAGAAGTGACCGGGCTCTATTTCCTTCCAGAGTCATTACTTTTCTTCTCTTTGACTTTTCTCTGATTTTCCTTGGTTTGTATAATTTTCTCAAGAATAATTAGTGACGGTCTCTGGTGGCTGTAAAATGAAGCTTGAAAAACAAAGACAATGAGGGGAAGTATAATGAGTGGTCGCTAACATGGACTCTGACAGTAGGTTGCCTGGGTCTGAATCCTAGTTTCTTAGCTATGTGACCTTGGGCAAGTTGCTTTAACCTCCCTGTGCCTCGGGATGCCCATCTGTAAAATGGGGATAATATTAGTTCCTACCTGTGGGGTTGGTGTGGGGATAAAAAGAGGTGTTGCTCATGTAAGAATTCGACGGCACAGGGTGAAGCCCTGCCTTATTTTACGGGCTGTTCTTACAGGCCTGAAACCTTCATAAGATGCTAATCCAAACTTATGAAATTAGCTTCTTGCAACAGAAATGCAGCTGACATTATGTTAAATTAATGTTGTATATCAAACATTTAACTCTCCTCCCTCCTGACTCAGATCTATTGTAATATACACGATGTCCCTGGCCCCGAGTTATTAATATACTGCACAACCTGATGCTATCCGTGTCTCCCAAGCCAGACTGAGAGAACAGGGGATATTTCTAAATTCCAACTGCTACACTAGATGCTTTATACGTTATTGGCAATATTCACAACAGCCCTGTAGAGTAGAAATTAATTCTTCTAGTTAGCATTAAGGCTGATGGAATGAATACCTGGCAAGTAACTTTCTAATTAATATGGAGTCTAGGTCGGGCGCGGTGGCTCACGTCTGTAATGCTAGCCCTCTAGGAGGCTAAGGTGGGAGGATCGTTCAAGCTCAAGAGTTTGAGACCAGCCTGAGCAAGAGCGAGACCTCTGTCTCTACTAAATGAAATAGAAATAAATTAGCTGGAAAACCAAAAATATATAGAAAAAATTAGCTGGGCATGGTGGTACATGCCTGTAGTCTCAGCTACTCGGGAGGCTGCAGCAGAAGGATTGCTTGAGCCCAGGAGTTTGAGGTTGCTGTGAGCCAGACTGACGCCACGGCACTCTAGCCTGGGTGACATAGTGAGACTCTGTCTCAAAAAAAAGAGAAAAATATGGACTCTAGAAAGGCAATGAATTCAGCAGTGTAAATATGAACACCTTAGCAAAGGCAGGAAGCGGCAAAGATAGGATTTGAACTCAAGACTTCTTGTCACTGAAGGCCATGCACTTGCATTCTGCCATGCTGCTTCTCTTTACCTGTTGTGTATTCCCAACACCTGGTACTTGGCCTCAGCTGTAGCACATACCCAGCACTTTGCTTGATACATATTAGGTGGACCACAAATGTCTGTTGAATGAATACTTGCATATACTAATATTTAAAGGTACTAAAAATAGCTCAAAGTAAATATATTTGTATATTAATTCCGTATCATCCATAAAGTTTACCTTGTAAGTGCCTAAGAAATGAGACTAATGGCTCCATTTGTTGTATAGGTAAACACAATAAATATTATTTTATAACGCATCTATTCTTTTTTGTGTCTTTATTTTTCAAGCTCAGAAGAAATAAAGTAAGTAGTTGGAACAGCAAACAGACTATTATGAGATGGTCAACATGATAAAAGTCCTGTGCAGTCTGCAAACCCAGGCCCTGAGTAGACACAAAGAGACCAAGAGATTGAAAGGGAAAAGAAGGTTTGATGTGAGAGGGGTGATTGGGAGCCTGGGAGGAAACTGAGAAGGTCAAGACAGGGAGGTCTAATGCCACAAACAGCAAGAAACGAAAGCAGCAGAAGTGTTTGGCTACAGATAGAGAAGGCAGCTCTGCCTTGATCAACCTAGAGAGAGGAAAATTGGGCACTGAAATCACAGGCTTTGGGTGCCATCTTCCTCCAGGGTGGAGCTTTGTCTACCCATCTTTTCCCTCACAGTGCCTAGTAGAGCTTAATAAATATTTGTCCACCTGAATTCACATTAGGACCCAGACATCGGGATAGAAATGGGGTTCCTGGAAATCACTTTCAGACTCTTGAGTCTAGGGAATTTGGAGTAGGGATTGTCTGTGTCACAACACAGTGCGAAGTGAAGGAAAGGGATAAAAAAGGCTGGGCTTTTAAGCGAGGAGATCCCTCAGACCCATAGATGCAGGGCCGCAGGATGTTTTTTAAAAACCGGAAGGGGAAATGACTTGCTAAGAGGCGATGTGTGAGATAGCAAATGGAAGCTTGTAGGTCTGAGCAAAACCACTTCCTCTACTCCCTGCTTATCAAAGAACCCCCACCTCCTCTGTTCTGAGCCACTCTTTGCAGATGAGCCTGGTGTCCCAGCTCCCCTAGCTATGTCTCTTCCTCCTCCTTTTCATCTGGGGCAGAAAGTGACTGCTACCCAGGAAGAATTTCAGATCCTGTGTAGAAAAAGTGCAAGCAGATACAGCAACTACTTGAGAAAAAAGAAAAAAAAAATAGTGGTGTTTCTCCAGTGCCCCCTGAGGTTTGACACATTTCATTTCATTTCATCTACACATTAGCCTTAGGACTGTCTCTCTGCCTGACATCGCCTCCCCTTCCTGACCCCCTCCACCTCTAATCTACGACTTTCCCCAGTCAACACACACTCATTCCTCCAGCCTCAGCTCACATGTCCCTTCCTAGGAGAAGTGTTCCCTGCTCTTCCCCACCATAGCCAATGTCCGTATTTTGCTCTTATTGTACAATATCTTTCCTTCATAGCAGTTTCCAAATTTTGTCTTCAAATATTTCTCCCTGTGATTATTTGATTAATGACTCCTTCCTCCACTGGACTATGCGCTGCAGCAGGACACAGACCCCATCTAGTTTTGCTCACCATTTGTATCCACAGTGCCTGATCCTGTGCAAGTTACAGAGGAAGTCCTCAACATATAATATTTTGTTTAATTCTTGAAGATGCAACTGTTTGTGTAGGTTTTAACTTCA